GTGGCGGAGAAGAGGGAGGCTGATGCAGTGTATGGGCTGGGGATGGGTGTTTGCAGGCAGGCGGGGGGGGGGGCATTGCCAAAGTTGGGGGTTGGCACCCGCGGCCCCTCTGCGTCTGCCTCTGTGACGGCTCTGGTTTCCTACAAAGCATCTCCTTGTCTGTAAATCGCCTTTGAACTGGCATTATGCCAATAAAGTTGGTGTTAGCTGGACACAAGGTGATCTTGGCTAAATGCAGGCCAGTTAATGGACGATGTATTTCAGCAATTTTATGAATCTTGTGTAATGCAGACTGCTATCATAATAAACTCTAACAGAATCAATAGTGACCAATCTCAATTTAAAACCTGGATCTATAGTAATACACAGTGAGAACCCTCTCCTTTAGAAATGCATGGCTGTGCATTAAAAGCTGAATGCTGGTTTAAGTAATTGCTATCTACAAGTAAGTGGCCCATTAATATATTTATTTACAGAATATTTTTGGTAACATGACAAAATGTGGCCTAACCCGACTGGTTATGAATTTCCTTCATGGCCTCAGCTGCTCTCCACAACTCCTCCTCTGTGTGTGTGTGTGTGTGTGTCCCCGCGGCCGCGCACAGCCGTAGTGCTAACCTACAAGTGTGATAATCCACAGCCTCGCCGGCCCCGGGCGGAGGATCTGTTACCGTCGGCAGCAATGCTGATAGAAAGACTTCCCGCTTTCCCGCTGCTGCTTCCTGCTACTGTCCGGCAGCATCCTGCCGGCGCTGCTGTTCCTTGCTAGGTGAGAAGGGAGAGGGGGGTAGAGGAATTTACAGAGGGGTTTTTTGGGTTTTTTTTAAAGCCAGGTCATGAGCTATCATCGTTTGTTACACATACTGCAAATGTTTAGGCGCTTGGAAAATCATTATTAATAAACATGTTGACTTTAATGCTGTCTGCAAATAAGGGCGTCTTTGATGATTTGAACCTGGGATGGAAGGGTAGTATTTTTTAAATGATGAAGTTGTAGATGAATTATGAATTTCTACAGTTTTATATTTGTACATCAAAGAAATCAATTGAACCAATTCAGTGTTGGCACAGCACAAATGCTGCAGCTTGCTCCCTTTCCATTAGCCCATCATCCATTTCCACTTCTGCTGTCCAGCTAACACTGGCAACTTAATAGAGCATCCTCTGCATGAACGTTGGAGTGTGGTAATCTAAGGTGGGGAAAAAAATCTTTTTTTTAAACCAAAGAAGAACTCCCATTATTCTGAGTTCCAGTTAGAAATACAGTAAGATTTTACTATATATTCATTATGTGATTCTGTTGACATAATCCAAATTATGAAAATAAAACAGCACCATATACTAAAATACTCTTATGATAACTGACACTTCACAAATTGGATCTTTTATAATATTTAAACTTTTTAAAAAGACATTTGGCTTTGCACATTTGAAAATGTATGCACTGCTTTTTCAAAAATTATATTGAAATGTGTCTTCACCGAGTAGTGGATCACTTCTGCTGTGTATCAGTTCTTTGCTTTGGCTGGCTACAAGCAGGGTTAGTGGTGGGAAAAGGAGCCGGTTTTGCTGTCCCTAAAACGTAACTGCGCACCTTCGTGCTCTCTCAAAGCTACGAGGGCTGCCCCAGCTTCCTGATTTCCATCCTGTGGCACGTGTCTCATCTCCCCGGCTAACTGCAGATCGTGCCGCAAGAGCAATCCAGCTCTAAGGCAAGAGAGCTGGGACGGCCTCTGTCATTGTCTAAAAACGCCGCTCTCAGACGGGTTATGCCGTACACACACCGGCTGCTCCTGGTGACACAGCGAGTGCCCGGTGTTCGGCAATAAAGCTTGGCCGGTCAGAGAGGAGCAGCACGTTCGTATTGAACTATGCAAAACTGGCCCAGCTGTAATTAGCCATTGTGTGCTTCAGCCAGGCAGCAGTGAGACGGACGTATTTCAGAGAAGAACCTCTGAAATAAGACAATGGATAGAAACTCAGTCATTTGGAATTGTTAGGTGAAGACATGGTTTCATCATAACAAAATCTGCATCACAGTTCCTTCATAATAAACACTGCAACACAATACATCTTATATTAAGGTTATTAAGAGTGCTTTGGAAGTCTACAGCCTTATGGAAACATCTGCCATTAAGCAGCGGAGCGTCACACCACGTAGGCACGGCACCAGGGTGCATACGCCTTTGGGACTGTGCCAGCGGCTGTCCTGCTGGAGAGGCAAAGAAGTGGCTGGGTCACTGGA